GCCAGTACCAGGCTGTTTTGATTACAGGTGCTTTGTAGTATAACTTGATATCTGGTATTGTGATCCATCCAACTTTGTTTTACTTTCTCAAGATTGTTGTGGCTATTCAGGGTCTTTTTTGGTTCCAAATGAATTTTTAAAATATTTGTTCTAGATCTGTGAAATATGCTGTTGGTATTTTAATCAGGATTGCATTGAATTTATAGATTGCTTTGGGCAGTATGGGCATTTTAATGATGTTAATTCTTCCAATCCATGAACATGGTATATTCTTCCACTCGTTTATATCTTCCTATATTTCTTTTCTCAATGTCCTGTAGTTTTCCAAGTACAGGTTTTTTACATCTTTGGTTAAGTTTATTCCTAAGTATCTTATTTTTTAAGTTGCAATGGTAAATGGGATTTTTTTTTTAGTTTCTCTTTCTGAGAGTTCATTATTGGTGTCTGAAAATGCTATTGATATCTGGGTGTTAATTTTGTTTCCTTCTACCTTGCTGAATTCATTTATTAAATCTAGTAGTTTTTTGGTGGAGTCTTCAGGATTTTCTATGTACAATATCATGTCATCTGCAAATAATGACAGTTTTATTTCCTCCTTTCCAGTATGGATGCCTTTTATGTTTTCTTCTTGTCTAATTGCTGTGGCTAGAACTTCCAATCTATGTTGAATAAGAATGGTGAAAGTGGACATTGTTGTCTTGTTCCTGTTCTTAGGGGAAATGGTTGTAGTGTTTGCCCACTGAGTATGATGCTGGCTGTAGGTTCATCATATGTGGCCTTTATTATGTTGAGGTATGATCCCTCCATTCCCACTTTGCTGAGAATTTTTATCAAAAATCGGTTTTGGAATTTATCAAATGCTTTTTCTGCATCTATTGATATGATTATGTGATTTATGTCTTCTAATTTGTTTATGTGATGTATCACATTTATTGATTTGTAAATATTGTATCAGCCTTTCTTTCCTGAAATAAATCCCACTTGGTCATGCTGTATGATCTTTTTTAATATATTGCTGGATCTGATTTACTAATATTTTGTTGAGGATTTTAGCATCTATGTTCATCAGAGATTCTCTTTCTTTGTAGTGTCTTTATCTGGTTTTGGAATTAGGCTAATGCTGGTCTCATAAAAAGAGCTTGGAACTCTTCCTTCCTCTTGAATTTTTGTAATAGTTTCAGGAGGGTAGGTTCTTGTTTTAATTATTGGTAAAACTCCCCTGTGAATCCATCCAGGCCAAGGCTTTTGTGTGCTGGGAGCCCTTTGATTACTGCTTCAATTTCATCAGCAGTTATTGGCCTATTTAGGCTTTCTGACTCTTCCTGATTGAGTTTTGAAAGATTATATTTTCCTAGGAATTTGTCCATTTCATCCAGGTTGTCCAGTTCGGTGGGGTAGAGTTTTCATAGTATTTTCTTATAATCCTTTGCGTTTCTGTTGGGTCAGTTGTTATTTCGCCTCTTTCAATTATCATTTTGTTTATTTGAGTCCTCTCTCTTTGTTTCTTGATGAGTCTGGTTAAAGCTTCATCAATTTTGTTTATCTTTTCAAAGAACCAGTTCTTGGTTTTATTGATCTTTTGTATTGTTTTTTTAGACTCTATGTCATTTATTTCTTCTCTGATCTTTATTATTTCCTTCCTTTTACTTAATCTAGGCTTTTCTTGTTCTCTTTCTAAGTTTGTAAATTGCAGGATTAGAGAGTCTATTAGATTTTCTTGCCCGGACAGGTGTGGCTCAGCGGTTGAGCATTGACCTAGGATATAGGCGATCAGGGTTCGATTCCTGGTCAGGGCACATGCCCAGTTGTGGGCTTGATCAATGACTCTCTCATCATTGATGTTTCTATCTCTCTCTCTCCCTCTCCTTTCCTCTCTCTGGAATCAATAAAGATATATTTATTTTTTTTAAAAAAAGGATTTCCTTGTTTTTTGGGGTAGGCTTTTAGTGTTAAGAACTTCCCTCTCAAGACTGCTTTCATTGTGTCCCATAAATTTGGAGTTGTTGTATGTTCATTTTCATTTGTTCCCAGGAAGTTTTTTCTTTCTTTCTTGATATCTTTGGTAACCCATTCATTGTTTAAAAACATGCTATTTAACTTTCATGTGTTTGAATTTTTTTAGTGTTTTTATTGTAGTCGATTTCTAATTTCATGCGATTATGGTCCTAGAAGATGCTTGATATGATTTCAATCTTCTTGAATTTGTAGAGACATGTTTTATGTCCTAACATGTGGTCTATCTTTGAGAAGGTCCTGTGTGCACCTGAGAAGGATGTATATTCTTCAGCTTTGGGGTGGAATGTTCTGTAAATGTCAATTAAATCTATCTGATCTAGTGTGTCATTTATGATCACTATTTCCTTGTTGATTTTTTGTCTGGAAGACCTATCCAGTGAAGTCAAGGGGGTGTTAAAGTCCCCGAGTATGACTGTATTGCTGTTTATCTCTTCCTTAAAGTCCTCTAGAAGTTTTTTTTATAAATTTAGGTGCTTCTATATTGGGTGCATATATGTTTATCTTGCTGGATTGATCCCTTTAGTATTATGTAATGACCTTTCTTGTCTCTTGTTATGGTCATCATTTTGAAGTCTATTTTGTCAGATATGAGTATTGCTACCCCAACTTTTTTTTTCATTTCTATTTGCATGGAAAAATTTTTTTTCCATTGCTTCATTCTCATCCTGTGTGAGTCTTTTTTTCTGAGGTTGGTCTCTTGTAGACAGCATATATTTGGGTCATGTTTCCTTATCTATTCAACCACCCTATATTTTTTATTGAGGCATTTAGTCATTTACATTTTGGTTATTATTGATATTTATTATGATATTAATTCTTTGTACCTATGTTTCTCTCTCTGTCTATTTCTACTTCTAATTACAGCAGTTCCTTTAACATTTCCTGTAATGCTGTTTTGGTGGTGATAAACTCCTTTTGCCTTTTTTTTTTTTGGTCTGGGAAGCTCCTTATTTTACCATCTATCTTGAATGATAATGTTGCTGGATAGAATAGTCTTGGTTTCAGATTCTTGTTTTGCATTACCTTGAATACTTCATGCCATTCCCTTCTGGCCTGTAGAGTTTCTGATGAGAAGTCAGCGGACAGCATTATGGGGCACCTTTGTAGGTAACAGATTATTTTTCTCTAGCTGCCTTTAAAATTCTTTGTCGTGAATTCTTGGCATTTTAATTATGATGTGTCTGGGCATGAGCCTCTTTGTTCTTTTCTTGCTCGAGACTCTGTGCCTCCTAAACTTTTGTGACTTTTACCTTGACCAGGTTAGGGGAGTTTTCTGCAATTATTTCTTCAAACAGGTTCTCTAACCCTTGCTTACTTTAGACCTCCTCTGGAGCTATCAACAATCCTCAGCTTGAGGTCTCCTCTTCTGGGGCAGGGTGCATTTGGACAGGAAGAAGATGCACACCAAAGTCTGCTTTTCCAAGGCTTGGGTCCAGAAGCAGATCAAGCAAAGACTCAAAGCACTTTGAGGTCTGCCTCTGCCTGCAAGCTGTTTAATCTGATTCTCTTAATCAGCCTCAGGCTGTAGGAGCTCCACACGGTTGAGCTGCTGGTTGTTATTAGTCTCTTAACAAGCCTCAGGCTGTAGAAATGCCTCTGGGTAGGACAAGAGGCTTCTGGCAGGGTGGGGCAACTGCTTTCCCCTTCAGACAAAACCTGAAAATTGCCTGTCTGAGAAAGGTGTCCTCTGCAGTCTGGGGGAATGACTAGGCACAGGAATCCATGTGGATGCCCTTTGATCTCAGTTTCCAAGCCCACAACCCAGGATTCTCCCCACACAGCTCCAGTCCACTCCACCCTCCCTTTGCCAGAGCCCAAGGAAAGTGGTTGCACACAAAAATTTGTGTGTTGGCTCTTTAAGAGGGTTTCCACAGTGGTGCATTTATACAATGTAATACTGTGCAGCTGTAAAAACAGGATGTCTTACCTTTTGTGACAGAATGGATGGACCTGGAGAGTATAATGCTGAGTGAAATAAGCCAGTCAGAGAAAGACAAATAGCACATAATCACACCTATAAGTGGAATCTAATGAACATAATAAACTGATAAAATAGGTCCAGAGACATGGAGGCATGGAACAGACTGACATATCTCAGAGGAGAGGGCGAAGATGGGAAGAATTTAACTGAATGACTCATATACATATATGCATAATCAATGAACATACACAGTAGTGTGGTGAAGGCCTGGGGTTGGGCAGGGGACTGGGAGGAGGTGGTAAAGGGTGGGGGAAATTGGGGGAATTTTTAATACTGTGAACAATAAATTAAAATTTTAAAAACAAAGAGAGAGAAAAAGGGAAAAAGAAATGCAAGAAAGAGAAGGTGATAATATTATGGTTGGAAAAACATCCCCCAAAGTACAAAATAATCCCAATTGTTATTGTAGAACAAAGCTGTTGAACATAAATTATGTAATTTGGGATAATATTGCTGTAGTACAGATTTCGGGGAGGGGTAATGGGTGTGTGAGATTTCAGGCACTGTCATGTTGAATAGGATGAGGTAGAAAAAATTATATTCTGTCCTAATAATATCAAACTATATTAGTTTAAAGTGAAATAATAATTTTAGTGCTTTGAAAGAGTAATATTTTGATCTGTCTATGTAATTTCATCAGTTAGTTATAACTGATAAAAATAAATTTGGGGGGCCCAATCTTAAAGTATTTGAGGTAGAATTTCATTTGAAATTGAAAGAATTAGAAAAAAGAGAAATTATTTTGAATAATTTTGAGGCATCTTTCAATTTAGATACAAGAAAATTGGCTGACAACTTCTAATTGTTCATTAAATTTTTTCTATGATTATAAATTATGTATTATCTATGTATTTTATACCTATCTATCAACAAGGTAATGACCTGGTGAATATCACATATAGATAAATAATGCTCTAACAATATTAATAAAATTGATAACATTTGAAAGTATATCAATATTTATCAGAATTCATGCATTACCAACAACATAAACAATAGTTACCTTTACAAATGCAACAATTTTCAAGGAGATTGTTGCTAAATATAAGGAGTTCATCACAAAATCCATTAGATTCCACCAATCATGGATATAATCTTGAAGTCCACCATCCCACATTTGTTTTATTTCTCCCCATATAAAACCTGCAATTATAGAAAGGGTTATTGTCAGTGTAATTTTCAATCAAATTACTAAAAACAGATTTACAATTTAAGAATTATAGACTCTTGGAGCTATGAGACCATATAGTTATACTAGATGCAGTATCTATTACTAGAGGTAATAACATTGAGTCCCAGACAGATTTTAGAAATTTCAGGACTCTTAACTAATTGTAGAGAATGTTATTAGAGCAGCTTCACTTTCTTTTACATAGTATTTGAAAAATTCATAAGAATGTGGAATTTTTAAATCAAACTGTAATTTCTCTTTAATTATATATTTTTTTTCATGGAAAATAGCATAACATTTATTTGTAAACAAATACTTTAAGACATTCTTCATCCCAAGTAAAAAACAGTGTAGTAAAAATATCTGGCTTAATACCATTAAACAGAGCACTTTGTTGTGCTTTTGTAAGCAATTAGCACCTCTAAGATCTGACATCAGGTGTAGACCAAAGGCAATTATAACATTCATAGTACTTCATTAAATATTTATCAATAACATTAAAGGTACAACCAGAAAAAATAAAAACCCTTTTTATTTATTATGGTCATATTTTTAATAGAAAATGTTTTGTGTTGGATTTTTCTTTTTAATTCTAGGAAGTAAAATATCACTGTATATCATTATTCTATTTTCATCATCTTATTAAGATTTTATAATTCTGCTTTTAGAGCATAATTATGAGGAGGATATATCAAAGTATCTAGAATCAGGAAATATTAAAAGAATAAATATGATTTTATAAGTACATTAATACAAGCAAACAATAAGATTCTTTTAAGAAAAATGATAGCCTGGAAAGTCAAATGTGTAGCACAGATCTTTACATCTTTTCAACACTAAAAGCAAGTAAAAGCCACATTAACTATAAAATCATGACTTTTCATGAACCCATTAAAGAGATGAGACACCAAGGAGCCTATACTTGAAGGAAAAGCAGGTTTCACCAAAGAGAGCTACAATGTGAGCATTAGGTCACCTGTGGCAGAGTGCAGGGATAAGAGATGTTGGCATTATACAAAGGAGTAAGAAGGTTTCAGAAAGATGTGAATGTGAGTTCTCATGGTAGGACAGAACTCCTGGGACACAGACACAAGGGGAATTTGCACCCACGTGCATGATCTTTTCCATAGATTCCACCCACTACTCAAGAGGCTGATTCCAGGGGAAGGGCATAAAGCCCTACCCAGGCTCCTGACCCCTAAGGAACAAAACATTTTAACCCTATTGGAAAAGCAGGAAACAGTTCTAGGTCTAGAGTTTACACAAATATTATTAAAGATTCCTACCAAAGGGGGAAGGTCAAGAAACCCACTTCTGCACATGGCCAGCAAAGATTTACTGTCATGAGAAGAAAGGTGTGGATCATTGAGAAACTCAATTCCCCAATGACCAGGCATAGGCTTACCTAAGTCTAACCCTAGACTGGGACAACAGAAAATCTTCGCTCCCTCCCCTCCCCCCATCACCAGGCCGATACCAGGTAACATCCAGAAGCTGACAACCACTGGAGGAGTGACAAGAGCATGGATAGAGACACCTCCACCCCTGAGGAATAGGTGCACCACAGTAGCCAAAAGCTGTGGGTGGAACTGGAACTCTAATATCATTCTTCCCCATTTGTCTTAGTCATTTCAGACTGCTATAACAAAGTATCATTGAATGGGTGGTCTTATAAAGCAGAAATTTATTTATCATAGTTCTGGAGGCTGCAAGTCTAAGATCAGGGTATCAACCTGGCCCAGCTGGTGAGAGCCCTCTTCAATGTTGCAGACTACTGACTCTTCTTTGTGTCTTCACATAGCAGAAAAAGAGTGATCCAGCTCTCTGACCTCTTCTTATAAGAGCACAAATCCTATTCATGAGGGCTCCACTCTCATAACCTAATTGCCTCCCAAAGGCCCTACCTCCAAATACATGCACATTGGAAGTCAGGATTTCAACATATGAATTTGAGGGGGACACAGACTTACAGTCCATAACATCACCCTAGGCAGAAGTATATGGTGTATTGAAACTGTAGCAATAAGGAAACCCAAACCCAGCTCACCTCAGCTCCTGACTATATTGCCTCAATTCCTAATGTTCTAGCAGAAGATGTGTTTCTATTTTCATAAAGTACATAAGTGCTAATTACTTCTATCTAGTCTTCTGCGCAGGTAGACTCAATACACTCAAAACACAAACACACATATACAGCATGATCCATAATGTTCACACTGTTTTTAAAAAAATAAGAAAAAGTACTGAAGGCATCGGGGTGGGATGGCATGGAAATAAAAGTCACACTGCACACAAAGGAATGATATAAGACTGATATAAAACTTGTCTGAAACTATGTAAGACAGAGTGACATCACTAAAGTGCTAAAAGAAAAATGCCAACCCAGAATTCTATACACAGAATGAATAGTGCTAATAAGTGAAGGTGAACAAAAGATACTTTTTAGACAATGAAAAACTCAGAGTTTATTGCCATATGACCCATGCTACGAGAAATGCTAAGTGGATATTTTTTGGGCAAAAGGTGTATGATAATAAACAGAAACCTGAGTTTAAAAAAAAAAAAAAATCAGACTCTATATCCAGATATGGCTAAAGTAAAAATAAATCTAAAGATATTTTTTAAAACTTTGAATTGTTCTAACATGTAATCCACTGCCTAAAGAAAAACTAGTAGAAACTTATTATGGTTTATAACACTTGTGGCATATGTAAAATTAAACTGTATAACAACATTAGCACTGAAGATGAGAAAGCAAAATTTATAACATACTATCAGAAGGTTCTTATATTACATGCAAAACAAAATAATATTATTTGAATTTAGACTGTGATCAATTAAAATTTCAAAATCCTAGGAAATTCTCTTTAAATATTTTAAATGTATTAATAAAGAGCAATAAATGTAAATAAACACGGAGTTATAAAAAATACTCAATCCATAAACAGGCAGAAAAAGAAATATTTAATACAACAAATAACAGATGGAGCAAATAAGAAAAATGATAGTAATGGAGTAGATTTTAAATCCACCTTCATCAACAATTACATTTAATGAAATATATGTTCTAAAACAATTATTAAAAGACAGATAGCAGTACAAGATAAAAATCCAAATCACAACTATATCAAGGGGCTATATCAATGAATGGATATATATCAGAAGAAATGTTAGTAGGTATGTAAAGAGATACAATGTAAGGATAAAAAGGTCAACTCACTGAGAAGACAGAACAATCCTAAATATGTATACAACTAACCAAATAATCTTATAATGCAAGATACCATAATTATCAGAACCGAAATAAAAAATGAAGGTACAGTTACAGTTAGAAACTTTATTTATCTCTGTAACCAATGAAAACAGTAGGCAGAAATTTAGTAAGGATATGAAAGTCCTGAATAACACTATATAACAACCTGACAACAGCAGAATAAACATATTTTTTTGACTACGTGGGGAACATTTACAATGATAAGCTATGTTATGGACTATGAAACAAACCTCAAATACTTATACAGGTTGAAATCATACAACATAATAAACAACAAATCAATAAGGAAATGTATCTGGAAAATGCCCAAGTAGTTTGCAAGTAAACAATGAACTTCTAGTAACTCTTGGTCAAAGAGAAATTGGTGGAGGTGGAAGAGGGCATAGAGTAGATAAATGGTGATAGTAAAAATTAAAAAAATAAATTAAAAAGAAAATATTTTGAATTCATTGAAAATAAAATTACAATAAAAACCTGTGATGCAGCCAACGTCATACTTAGAGTGAAATTTATAGGTCTAAATGCTTTATAAAAAAGAATAAATGTCTCAAATTAGTGTCCTCAGCTTTAACTATGACGCTATAAAAAAAAGAAGTATTTAAGCCCAAAGCAAGCAGAAGAAAGAAAATAAAAGCGATAGTAGCAGTAATCAATGAATTTTAAAATATAGAACTTGAGAAAAAAATCAATGAAAACTGAATATAGATATTTGAAATAATAAAAGGTGATAAAACTCTAGCTAGAATGATGGTCAAGAAACAGAGAAGATATACATAATCAATATCAGAAATGAAAGAAAGGCCATCAATACAGATTATACAGATTTTATAAATAGAACAAGTAAATAAAATGAAAAACTTGGTACTCATAAATTTCACAAATTCAATGAATTGGACATTTTCCCTGAAAGAGACAAACTTCTAAAGTGATTCAAGACAACACAGAGTAACCTGAATTGTCCTATATTTATTTAAGAAAGTGAACTTATTGTTAAAAATCTTCTAACAAAGTTTTAGGTACAGTTGTTTCCTGATGAAGTCTACCATATATTTAAGGAAGAAATAATACAAGTTTGAATCAAACACAAAAATATGACGGAAAGTAACATTTAAGAAGCAAGTATTATTATGATAAAATTCAGACAAAAATAACACAAAGAAAACTGAAGTACACACTCATAAACCTTATGAATATGCACAAGAAATGCTCAAAAGTATTAGTACTTTAAATACAGTAATACATACATTAATAATAAATCATGACCAAGTCATGAATGCAAGGTGGTTTCAACATTTAAGAATCAATCTCCCTTAAAAACAGGAGCAATCCAGGATTGACTGCTTTCACCACTCTTATTCAACATAGTACTGGAAGTCCTTGCCACAGCCATCAGACAGGAAGAAAACATAAAAGGTATCCAAGTTGGAATGGAGGATGTAAAACTATCATTATTTGCAGATGACATGATATTGTACAAAGAAAACCCAAACACTCCACCAAAGTACTACTAGATTTGATCAATGAATTCATCAAGATACCTGGATACAAAATTAACACCCAGAAATCAGTGGCATTTTTATACACCAATAATGAACTCTCAGAAAGAGAAACTTAAAAAAAAAAAATACCATTTACTACTGAAACTAAAAAAATAAGATACGTAGGAATAAATTTAACCAAGGATATAAAAGACCTGTG